TCTCGCTATCGGGGGACCTCCCAGGACGGGAGGTGGCTATCGACGGAGGTGAGACGGAGAGCGTCTTGGCGAAGACGGAGACGGTCGGGGCCGAGCTCGTGGGCGCTGACGAGATTGAACTACCCATATGGAACGGTCGCTGGGCCGGCCTAGCGATGCTCGCGGGAATTACCGATGGCACGCTTAACTGACTATCTGGGGGTCGGCCTACGCGCACGCTGAGGCATACCTTGGCACGCGCCGACCCGCCATTCTCGCACCCCGGCCCCCGCGGGCGATTTCGTCCCGCCGGGCCTGGCAGGCAGAGATCGCGCATCGATGGGGTCCGAAACTCATGCGATCGGTCCGGGGGTTCTTGCTACCCCCTATTCCAGCACCCCCGATCCTGTTTCATTAGGCACCGAACCCCCCAATGTCCACCGTTCCCCCTCCACTGATCTCCGTTGGGTTGCAGCCTGGCTCGGTCAACCATTGATGGGGTCTGAAACTCATGCGATTGGTCTGGGAATTCTTGCTACCCACTATTTCAGCACCCCTGATCCTGTTTCATTAGGCACCGAAGGCCTCAACATCCACCATTCACCCTGCACCAATATCCACTGTTTGGCTTACTTGTTTGGGTGGCAACTGGACTCAAAAACATGACAATTTGATCAGTGTTGGCTGTTCCCCCTCTTTCAATACCCACAGGTCTGTTTTATTGAGCCCTGAACATGCCACAGTCCAGCATTGAATTTTCATGGACTTGAACACAAGTTGAGTCGGTGGAAACAGCTAAAGGTACAGTTTCACTGGATTAATCAAAGTATTTATAGTTCTGGGCAGAAGAAGTATATAGGTATAGCAAAATATCCTGTTGTGAAAGCCAGGCTCGATGACGCCAGGTCAAGAGAAGAGCAGTCCGCACATGGGCTTATGTAAGCAATCTGAATGCAGTGGCGCGAGTGCAAAGTCGCTCGCGGTCGTCGACACACGCAACGTGGGCCTTCGGTAAGTGTCTCATTATACTCAGCGGGTATGAAAACCCCAGGGTACATGTTTTAATTGACCTTATCTTATGTTCTAGAGCCGAGCGAGGCAGCGACCGAGACGCGGCGACGCGCGCGAGACGCGAAGTCCGCGACTCGCTCCTTACATGCTCTCGATGTTCTCGACGCCGCCGCCGCCTCCTCCACAACCCCTTTATGGTCCCTCTGGTGGTGGAAATGAATGTTAGAGGGCTTGTGAACAGAGGATGGAGTAAAAAGGTAAGTAATTATATTGACATTCGATGTTTTATGAGTTGATACAAGGGGCTGGCATGCCTGCCTCGCGTCTGGACGTGGGCGGGTCGTGCTGGCCCCGAACACTTACTTTACAGTTTCATTACATTCTAATAGGTTATATTGTGCTATTGGGAGCGCACCGGACGTGCACGAGCGCCACGAAACCGCCGCACGCCCGGCCGCCTCCCATCTCGCGCTCCCCGACGTCGAAACGCAGAATGCCGCCGCGTTCTGCGTTTCGACGTTGTTTACGACTCTCCCCGACTTCACGAACCGAATGATACCCGCACCGCGCAAATCAGCGGCGCAGTTCTCTGTAAAGTCAGGTTTTTCTGTTTATTGCCCCCCTCCCCCCTCCCCCTTCCTCCCCGCTTCCCCGGCCTCTCATCTTCGGATGGGAGGCGATTTCCTGACTCCTTCTGGAGTCAGGACGACGACGAGACACGCGCTATAGCAGCGCGTTGTCTCGTCATCGAGTTCTTCTCAATTCTACCGGGGCTCAGCCCCCCCCCTCCCTGCCACACCGTTTTGCGACGGACCCGAACGCGTCAGTGAGGCGTCTTCGGGTCAGAACGCACCTCCTCGTGCTACACTAGCACGAGGAGGTGCGTTCTGACCTGTGGGATGCCCATCGACACCCTCGTCGCCGTCGTCCGCGCGCGCGCGTCGCGCGACATCGAACCTCAGAACGCACCCGCGTTCTGGTTTTCGATGTCATTTATGGGTGGGGAGTGCTAAGCGAAGCTGTGGCAGAAAAGGGTGCACACATTTGTGCACCCGTTCTGCCGCAATCTTCGATTACCGGTTTTACCCCTCCCGACCCCTCTCCGCCCATCCCTCCTTCACCAGGCTGTCCGCTGTCAAGCGGACGCCTGCGCCTGGGCTCTACGAGCTCCAAGACGTTGACGAGAGCGAGCCACTACGTGGCTCTTGCTCGTCGATGTTGTATCTCATTCTTTGTCACCCTCCTCCCCACCTCCCCCTTCCGACCCTCGCGCCGGCTCCGGAAGGCCCCCAAACGCCCCACGTCCGATGTCCCCCATTTTATACACGCCGTGGGCAGTGCGACTGGCTGTAGCTCGCTGTCTGGGCCGCCGCCGCCGCCGCCATCGTCGCCGTCGCCCTCCCCGCCGGTATCCTTCAAGCCGACCTCAAAATGCAACGCCCCGCCTTAACAGCGGGTGTTTTGGGATCACACCAGAAGTAGGAACACAAAGATATATGCGGTTTTGTCGTCAGGTGAGTACTGAATATTCTATCAATTTATTTCTACCCTCCTCCTCCCCTGCCACCCATCCCCCTCTCGCCGGCCCCGGAGAGCGCGTGAGCTCACGCGGTCTGACGGAACCATGTTCCTATCACCCACATCCACCCTCTCCGCCCGGCATTCACTCCCCTGACCGCTGCCAGCGCCGCGAAAGGTCTGTCACCGCCACCAACGTCGTGCTTCACGCCAACGCCGAAACGGCTCACACCGCGTAGACGCACAGTGTTTCCGACTCGCGCAGGGGATAAGAATACGATGCCATATGCATCTTTGCGATCGGGTGAGTTTCGAGTTTTCTATTATTTGTTTTCTATTTTTCGGGTCCCCAGCCACAGTCCCGCCCCGAAGTCATGCGCGGCCTCAGACGCGGTGCGCATACCGTATCCGAGGCCCTAGTCTATTACTATGTATTGTAATGTACACAGGAATGTAGTAGATACAGCTGTATAATGCCCCAGCACGAAATGAATCTGTTGAAAGCAAACAAGTCCCAAATGACGTCCGACCCTACCTAGAGTTCCCATGCCGGCCAGAACTCTAACCAATTTGGTCTAACGGTCTATGACACGCCTATGTGCGGATATAGAGGGCGGTCGTTCAATTCCCGCCCAGGCGCTCCAATTCTACGTGAATTTATGCAACCCTAGCCGTGAAAGCCGATGCGGTCTGGGCTGGAGCATCGAATTCCCTCCTTAAGCAAGAGATAGGAGATGTGTCCTAAGCATCGAATTCCCTCCCTAAAAAAGAGATAGGAGATGTCCCTTTTTGCCTAATTTAGTTGTGATATCCATTCCTTCGACTTTCCTCTCTCTTCTCTTTTTTATTTCTTTTGTATACTTTGGTATATCTCTCAATGTCCTCGGAGGGTACGAGAACCTCTACTAACATGTTTTATTTATTGTAATTAGTGCTCTATAGGCCGAGCGAGGCAGCTCGGGAACCGCCGAACACGCGCGAGACGCTAAGTCCGCAACTCGCTCCCAACATGTTCTCGACATTCTCGACGCCGCCGCTCCCTCTTCCACCCATCCTCTCGGTAGTCCATTTGGTCAGTGAAAAGGAAGGTTAGAGGGCTTGTGAGCAGAGGACAAGGTAAATAGGTAAGTAACCACATCAAATTCGATGTTTTATGAGTTGAGACAAGGGGCTGGCATGTCCGCCTCGCGGCTCAACGCGGGCTGGTCGTGCTGGCCCTGAATGTTTGCTTTACAGTTATATTACCTTCTTATAGGTGATACACTCGTTCTGGGAGCGACCCAGACCTGCACGACCGGCACGAAACCGCCGCACGCCCGCGCACCTCCCATCTCGTCACCGCGACCTCGGAACGCAGAAGGCTGCCGCCTTCTGAGTTTCGATGTCTATTTCGACTCTCCCCGATCTCAGGAAACGAACGATACCCGCGCCGCGCAAATCGGCGGCGCGGTTCTCTATAAATTCCGTTTTTCTTGTTTATACCTCCTCCCCCCTTGCACACTCCTCCCCGCTTCACCGGCCTTCCATCCTTGGATGGGAGGCCATTTCCTGACTGCTTAGGGAGTCAGGACGATGACGAGATACGCGCTATACCAGCGCGTTGTCTCGTCATTGTGTTCTTGTCAATTCTTCCGGGGTTAATTCTCCCCTCCCTGCAACCCCGTTCTACGGCGGGCCCCGGGACGCTAGCGATGCGTCTCTGGGCCCAAAGGAACCTCCTCATGCTAGTCTAGCACGAGGAGGTTTATTTTGAGCCGTAAGATGATCTTCGACGCCCTCGACGCCGTCGTCGTCGTGCGCGCGTCGCCCGACGTCGAACGTCAGAACGCACCCGCGTTCTGACGTTCGATGTCTTCTCTGGTCGGGATGTGCGTAACGGAGATGTGACAGGAACGGGTGCGCACATTTGTGCATCCGTTCTGCCATAGCCTTCGATTTTGTCCTTCACTTCCTCCTGCCCCCTCCCCCTTCTTTCCCCTTCGCCCCGGCCGCCTGCTCTCTAGCGGGTGCCCATTCCTGTCCCCTACCCATATGGAACGGTCGCTGGGACGGCCTAGCGATGCTCGCGGGAATTACCGACGGCACGCTTAACTGACTATCTGGGGGTGGGCCTACGCGCACGCTGAGGCATACCTTGGCACGCGCCGACCCGCCATTCTCGCACCCCGGCCCCCCGCGGGCAATTTCGTGCCGCCGGGCCTGGCAGGCAGAGATCGCGCATCGATGGGGTCCGAAACTCATGCGATTGGTTCGGGGGTTCTTGCTACCCCCTATTGCAGCACCCCCGATCCTGTTTCATTAAGCACCAAACCCCCCAAAGTGCACCGTTCCCCCTCCACCGATCTCCGTCGGGTTGCAGCCTGGCTCGGTCGACCATCGATGGGGTCTGAACTCATGCGATTGGTCCGGGGGTTCTTGCTACCCCCCGTATTCCAGCACCCCTGATCCTGTTTCGTTAAG